TCTATATTTCAATAAACTGGGCAATTCATTTTGTGATAAAAATTTGAATCAGATTTTTTTCTATACATGCAATAACTTCGTAATTTATCCGTTCAAAGATCCGTTTTGATCCCCTGCACTTTTTAATGTCCAAAAACAATATTACACTGACAGTCGCCGAGCACTAGGACCAAGCGTAAAACTGCAGCTCAAGCTGAAGCCCGCTTCCCTAAATTTAGCCCACCCACAAGCTCCTGATTGGCCCTCCATCTTTTCTTGTGTGATTGGCTGTCACCGCTGTCACCCCTGAGAAGCTCACTTTGCAAACATCTGATGCACCACTGAATCAGGTCTGTGACTGGGCGGTCACAGCGCTGCCTAAGTCTTATGGACTACCGTAGTTAGAACTGTAGGGTCGCAAGTCTTTTTCTCTGCGTTCTGGTACGTTTTGGATTTTTGAGATAACCTAAACGATCAAGGAGTTAGGGTCTTGATAACCTGGGTTTGCAAAAGACGAAAGTTGGTGAGGGAGTCTGCTATTGTAAATTAGGCATTTATGCTTCACTTTAATCACGTAATCTAGAAGGGCTGTAACATCAGAACATGTGCGTGCGTTTGTTTGGTTATTGGTAATCTCGCAGCCAGGGTGTCTGGGAGATAACTGAGTAACATCCCTCCTAAAACACCTTCACTGGCTCTGTACAGCAACAAATCCAAGATCCTCCACCACATTTTAAAGCTTTCTATAGTCTTGTAAAGCATATTCGTTTTATTATAGGTGCTGATAAATAAAATGTATGTTACATATTATTAGAATCATCAAAAACGGGAAAAAATATAATCTATGAATGTGTTTTAATATATCCAAGCTGATAATAATTGTAAAACTATGTTATTTTAATGTAGATGGATTGTTGTCCAGTTGTTCATATCATGCATCCATATAGAGGGATAGCAGAGATAAAAGAGAAAGTGGAGGAAACAAACAGAGAAGAGCTACTAGAAATCACACTGAACTTATAAAATGGAGAGTTTTGGCCTGGGGGTCAGAGCAGTGCGCTTGTGCTCTGGGAAGGTTCCAAGTACCCGGTTCAATCCTTACAGACGGCACTCTGGGTCCCTGAGCAAGACCCTTAACCCCAGACTGCACCCCAGGCGCCACACAATGGCAGCCTACTGCTCCCCAAGGGGATGGGTTAAATGCAGAGACTGAATTTCCCCATTGTGGGACAATAAAGGGATTTAAATTTATATATAAGTTATATTAAAAAATATTTGCATCGCCCCCACTTCTGAAATCAAAATTTCAACCAAGACCTTATCTAGAATAAGCTCATTGTTTTGCTTAAAGGGTCAGACAATGCCAATACAATAAGTTAAAACAGAAGAGCCACATTACTTTGGGCTCCTGCCTCTCCTTGTTTTGCTGTAATGAGGTGAATTTATTTTGTGAAACGAGAACATTTCAAACACAAGGTCACATGAATACTGGCTGTGGCTGAAAGCTACCTCCTGTTTTTATGGTGCACATTAAAAGGCTGGTGGATGCCTCTTGGAAAGGATCCAAAAGGTCATGTGTTAGTGGGAGGGTTAATGATTCGGTTAATAAAAGGAAAAATATCAACCAGTGATGCGAAGTGATTAACAGGCATTTGCCAATTTAGAATTTATATTTACTTCGGAATACATGCTGCTTTATATTATTATGTGGTTGTTTACATTCAATCAGTATAATTGACTTTAAATAAGCAGGTGTTTACTTTTAGCGTCAGAGCAGGTTGCTTATTATGATTTTAACAGCGTTTTCTGCTCCCTGTGGTATGAAAATGATTGTGCAAACCTGCTAGTTTGTAAATGTATTTTAATATTTACCATGTTGATTACCTCTGTGCAGTAAAGTGTGCACATATGTGGTTGCCTAGAAGAAAATCTAAAGGTTAAGAAATGATTGTGTTACAAGCCCAAAACAAATCTGTTTCCTGGGTGGTAAAGTAGACAAGCGTGACATTTATAAAGTCATGGAGGTCTAATGAGGTGTAATAATACATATATTTGTACAGAAATTCCATTGTACAAACTTCACCTCCATGCACATGCAGTCGGATCCGTAAAATATCAGCCCCAAGCAATTATAACTGCCACATGATAATAAAAGCAGTGACGGATCGTAAAAGTGACTGGCAGGATCTAACTGGTCTTCTCTTCTGTTTGAGAATATTCAAGCTTGAAACAATTAATAGTTCACTTTTTGATATGTAAAAACACTTCAGCGGAGTCAGCCAATTACCATGAATTATGAAAATGAAGGATTTATTGCCCAATTAAGAATCCAGACCATATATTAGATATCAAGATATTACATTAGTTTTTTAAGCACTATACCAATGATGTCCCTCTGTTTTTGATATATCGTGCACACGTTGCATATGTTGCAAGGTACAGAATGGAAAGAATTCAGGATTTGATCTCATAGATTCCAAGGTAAAAGTCATGGCTGCTGACCAGTCAGCCAAAGTGAAACCCCCCCTGGCCAAGTGAATACACTCCACCGATTGGAGCCAATCAAGAAGGCCATGCAATGCATAATGTCAGTATAAGCTGACTCACTTACTTTATCCTGTCAGCTCGTGTTGGCAATGGTTCATTCTATCTAGAGGGAAGTTGGATTTTAATTGCTGCATTCAGAACGCCAGTGGCGATGGAAACAGCTGATCAGTTACATAGGTAAATATTAGCTATGTCCTAATTATTATTATTAATATTATTTTTAATATGCTTTCATCTCCTCTTTAGTAGATTCAGGATTTTTTCAAAAAGAAAATCAAAAACCACTTTAAGTTAGTGTAAAAAACGTATTTGCGAAATTTAGTAATTTCATTTCATATTTGCTGTTTTCATGAAGCTCCTTAGATAATACACTTTAAAATGCACAAAATGAGATTATTGGAAAACAGATTATTTGCATAGATTGCTATGCAAATGGCTGCTGTTAATAGTTGTGGGCTGTTTTTTCTTGTGTTCTATGTTTGCTAATGATATAGTCATGATACTGTCTGCTCCCATCAGACACCGTTTAGTAACACCGAAACACTAGCATCCACTATTACTTTTTTTGTTGTTGTTTTTTTTCAACATAGCTTTATTGACCATAAAGTCACAGTGAAATTTACCATTACCTCCGTAAATACTCTTCATTCTTCATCTGGGCGTTTCGGTCTCTTTTAAGTTCTAAACCCATCAGACCAAAGTCTGAAAGTGGTGGCATGTAATTAGGAGTATGAAAAACCACACCAAAAAGATTGGATTTAAGAAAAAAATTATAATAATTGAATTTAGCATCAACTTGCTGTATGAGCGTAGCCAAACAGCCATGTTGCTCTGGAGCTGTAGGCTGCAGAGTCCTGCACAAGACTACTACCACTCATTATAAGAACGCATTCAAAGGCAAAGCATATTTTTGTTTTTCCTTAAATAGATACCCAGCAGTTTCAGAGTCATCTTGAATTAATCCTAGTCGATTCTGTCTGTAATTTCGGTATGAGGTGAAGACTTTCTGGCAGTCTTAGGCCACGTTCATACTGCAACCTGAAGTGACCCAAATCCGATCTTTTTGGCCCATATGCGACCTGTATCTGAACAACACAGATCCAATTCTTCAAATGCGATCCAGGCCTGTGGTCCTGAATCCAATACGAATCTGATCTTTTCAAATGTGACCTGTCTCTGAACGGCCAGGTCGCATTCATCCGACCTGAACGCCATTAATACCCGACAAAGGTCACTATTCTGGGTCTTGCTATGCAGAAGCGGGAAGACAAACAACAACCATGGCAGACAATAATCTGGAGTGTAGTCTTTTTTTTTAACCATCTTGAAAAGATTTAGTTTTTAAGGTTTGGAAAGTTTGCTAGATGCACTCCAGCACTACCTTCCATGTTTACTTCCTTAAACATAGAGCACCCTTGCTTGTGATGTCATTGCGTCCTCTACTGCACATGCTGGACACTTGCGTTGTATTAATGCAGTTCACACATGAGATCACATACAGGTGCCATATATTTGGAAGTGTGAACGGAAATGCAACAAAAATTGGATTTCACAAAAAAATTGGAATTGAGCATTGAGGCCTCAGTGTGAATGTAGCCTATGTATCTTGAATCAGACTTGGACTTGATTCATACTTAAGTTGCAAAAATAAAGACCTGGCTTTGACTCATGAAGTGGGACTTAGATCTCTTTAAAAAGCCTTTCTTTTTTGCAATCAGGAGCAAAAACAAGTTGATGTGTAAGCTGCCACTATGACAGGAGATCTCTCTACCATTTAATCAAATGTATTTCCTGTTGTGTTCATTTGACAACATTTCACACTCCATCTCATTTACTCTGCAGACCATACTACACTAATTATCCTAACATTTATTATTTCTCTTGAAACTTGTTTACTTATGTTATTCATTTTTATGTAGATAATTACATGTTTTTCTAATATTTTTTGGATATTCCTTGAAATCACAATAAGGAGAAGAAAATTGTGAATTTAAGACTCATAGTGAACAATATGAACTTTAGGTCGATATGAGATAAACAGAACTACATTTGAGAAAAATTACTGCTTATAGTATTTTCAGTTTGATTTTCTTTATATATTGCATTTACTTATTTATATTCCCTCTGTGAGCGAGCCAGACAATAATGCAAAAAAATTGCTGTTCTTTTTTTATTTAACGTGTATCTAATGGATTAAAACCATATTTAATAACTGAAGAGCTCTCATTCAAATGTATGTAATGTAATAAGTATGTAAATGAAGTGAAATATGTTCTCCTGTTGAGATGCTAGTGATTGCACTTATAAAGCTTAAAGGCTAAAAAGTTTCCCAAGAAAAAAGTCTCTTCAAATGTTAGAATACAGGAGGATATTGGTGAAATCTGAAAACAGTCATTACAGCTGGGTTGGTAGTAGAGCATATAATGAGGTGCACGACTGATTGCTTTCCTCATCCTGTTTCTCTTTTTCTGCAGGGGGGAGCCATCCAGAACATCGAGTCTCAGCGTTGCCTGGAGCTGGTGGAGAGCAAGCGATCAGAGCTCCCCCTCCAGCTGGCTATTCAGGACTGTACTGGTCAGAAATGGACCATTACAAACATTTTGACTGTCCTGCCGCAGTGAACTCAGTTTGGATGAAGTTATGAGGCACATTAAAAAAAAGCATTTGAATCCAAACAGTGGGGAAATGTTCCAAAAACTGTAAACTTTGGACATGTTGTTTCCCAGAATGTGGACAATAAATTACGTGCTTCAATTATGCACGGATCATCAATAACCTAATAACCTTCCCCTACCAACAAAATGAGTGAGGAGGCAGCCACAAACGGAGAAGATGCAGTTATAGCTTCCAAACCTGCAATCAAAATGACATATATTGTTAGTTTTTTAACAGGAAAGTCACATGAAACCATGGAGGCAGACTGTTCATCGCAGACGTGGGCTTGCTTTTTTATTTGGGGTCTCTGTCTGCAGTTTGATATGGTGCCTGAACCCCCGTCTGTCTCATTGCACAATCATCGAAACAAAATATATGGGCGTAATTATAAGTGTGTATATTTTGGGGGCTTGAACACACTGCAGAAAACCTGTTACAATGAAAAGCAGCTGACATTTTTTCACAAATTATTCATGGAAGGCAGTAATAAGTTGTAAAAATCTGCATCGCAGGATGCTTTGAAATTTTGTCAGTATCACAAAAAGCAGATAGGGTGTAATGCAGAATATCAGCATTGTGACTTTAAACTCACACAGTGAAAGAAACATTGAGGCTTCGGAAATAGACTGAACTGAAGCAAGAGCTCATTTTTCAATACATGTTTGGTCAGAAATGAGGATTTAGAAATTTGATGCAACCTCTCGTAACATTTTCAGAATAAGCACACGGAGAAGCAAAGATCTGTTATCATCACAGAGATTTCAGAAATAAAGAATTTTTCATTAAGGAGAAAACTTTAAGTGTGTTCGATTCAGAGGCTGCGTCCCCTAAGGACCCGGTACCTCCTGGACCGTGAGGAGGTTGGAAGAAGTTTGCTTATGGATTCAAATAGGTCTTCTTGGACATTCACCTCCCATACGCTTTATCGCCTAGCAACCGTAACAGTTGACACACAAAGCAGGCAAAGAATAGATGCCGGACTTCTTACTAACGTTCTGTGTACTAATAAAATTTTCGAGGAGCTTCAGCAGCAGTACCGTCATCGTGAATATCATATTTATTTTCCCCACACTGCTCAGATATTGGAATCTATGTTTGTCAACCAAACACATTTGCACAAGGACAGAAAAAACATTAAATAAACCGAACATTATCACAAATATTTTCATAAATTTCAGACGGAACTATTCACATACCTGTATTATATTAAACTCCACTTACAATATTCACCACTATTCTGCTCCATTTACCTTTTTCCTCTGAGCACAGAGCAGCCAGCCTGCTTGGACTCGAAATTAATCACGGGAACACCAAGGCTTGTAGGATACTTCAAAATGGGCTAAAAGAAGGAAGCATATGGCGGCTGTGTAACGAGTCTTCCAATCTGAACAGGCCTCGGTGCCGCGTTTTGATGTAATCGGAAAAGAATCTGACCTTTGGAGAATTGAGCCGCTGAATTCCAACTCAGCAATGCTGTCAGCACTGGAAGAAAAGAATAATATTTACAAAACAACTTAAAAAGTCAGTTTAATTCACACTAATGTTTCATTATACAGAACTTATTGCTTCATGAATAAGTGGACTGAGACCTTTTTTTTTTAGCAATATTGACCCACTGTAAAAAATGAAACAATCTCTTGATACATTATTTTTCTACAAAATAATTGGAACCAAAACTATTGGCACCCTGCTGTTGTTAGTCAGTATAATCCTATTTAGGCCAATTTATTTACCAACTCCTTATCATATTTATGACATTTCATAAGGGTTCAGGCATACACTAAGTGAGGATCAAATATACTAACCTATGCTTTTTTTTCTTCACGCTCTATGGGCCGGATCTATCAAAGGTTTGCGTGTATAAAAACGTGAGCTATTTCACTGCGCACGCTAAAAAATGTACAAACTGATCTATCAACAGCGTGGTAAAAGGATTTGGTCTTTAAAACGTGCTAAATAGCGCCTCTTATCCATTTAGTACTTTTTCTGCAATGAATATGCAATATGGGGCGTTTACACGCAAAAGTGCGTCTTGTGGGAGAAGAACATGTAAATATATTAATTTAGCACTCGCAAAGTGATTTATCAAACCTGAAAGCAATTTTGCTAACGGTATCTGACTCTATATTTAACACGTTTCAAAAGACGGTGCAAATGGTCTGTATGCGTAATTGCGCACACATGGCAGCGGTTATTGTCGCAAGAAGGAGACATCGAAATGAAGCAAGGAGACGCAGAGAACGCATTTTTCACTCCGTGTGAATATTTATGGAATGAACGAGGAAACGATCATCAAAACATATCGTTTATCCAGCATTGCCATTTTGGAGCTGTTGGGGGAACTCCAAATGGATTTGGAGCCAGCCACAAGGAGGACCCACGCAATACCAGATATCACAAAACTCCTTGCAACGTTGCACTTTTTTGCATCTGGGTCATTCCAGCGTACGGTTGCAGCGAGAGCTGGGATCTCCCAATCTCGTTTTTCAGAAGTGCTGTCTGACGGGGTCGGGGTTCTCCCCCAGCGCCTGCGGGGCAGCATTGGCATGTTGCCCCGCCTCCAACAGTTTTGCACCTGCCACCAGTTACGCAATCACTCTTGTTAAATCACCCGCAAACCATGGTCCAGCCCCTCACGCAAAATTCCAGTTTGCGAGCGCAAATTACTGCACGCAAAATTGGATCTTGATAAATCCGGCCCTAAGTCCGGTCCTCAGAACCCACTGCTCGACATGTTTTAGACGTCTCTCAGCTCCAGCACACCTCAATCAAATGATTGGATTACCTCCTCAGATGCTCCGATTGATTAAAGCCTACATTTATTATCAAGTATATTTTCTAAATATTTCTATTTAATTTTGAAATGTTGGGAAACTACGTAAGTGACTAATTTAAATATAACAAAATGTCCTTGATTAAGTGAATTAAGGGTTTGCATATTTTATCATAATATGGTGCATTGCATCTAAGGTTATGTATATTTAGGTTGCTCACTTAAATGTTCTAAAAATCCCCATCAACATCTCATAAATCTTTAAAAGGAACAGTGTCTAACTAACAAACATCACCTCAAAAACTAAACCACTGTAATAGATTAGAATGAGTTTTTTTTATAAATGCATAGGGGGCAGTGCACCCAATAGGAGACGCCATGTTGAATCCCAATTTTTGATCAGTGTTGTAACGTTCACATTTTCCTTGTATATGAAATATGTGCTGTCGGTGGCGAAAGACTTTAAATAAGCAAAATACAACAAACATCATTTTACTTTCTGCTGTCTATTGCAATGGAAGACCATCCATGCTCTTACCAAAAAAGGAAAAAAGTAATAACTGAGAGTAAACAAGAGTCCAAATTGGCACAGCTTTTACCGGGCGAAGACAATTTATGAGGGAGCTTCAAAATGGATGAGGAGGTTTCAGGCTTTATGATGGACAGGAAAGACAATTCAAAATAACAGTGAAGTTTATTATGGTGTTCTGTTAAAGACAGGCCAGTGCAGTCCAGCAACTACAGTCTGTCTCCCAAACCGAGAATACTTGTCTATTTGTTAGCCTCCACCGACAAGCTCCAATGCAGCACTTATCAGCTGCTGGTATTTTTAACAGAAGACAGACCAGACCAGCGAAGGCTTATTCCATGCCTGTGTTCAGAGAAATGTTCCCTGGGTTTAATTTTATCGAGTGATGGGGGTAGCATGTCACGCCACAGCTTCCGTAGCAGGTTTATGCTGCGCCACTCTGCAAGGGGAGGCACCAGTTGTTTGTTTATTATTCTGTTAGTGCTAATGAAATTAAATTTGGCGGCTTTTTGTTGCAAATTATCACCCAGTTCCATAAAACAGAAGCATGTGAAGAAGAATTATGAATCATGTTACAAAAGAATAAGGATGTTTATTAAAAGGAAATTGCAAAGCACAGGAGCTTGATTATCTAAATATTTCTGCTGTTTTGTTTCACTTAAAATATGGAGCAATGAATTTGTTGGTAATACACTTTACTTTGCATTTAGCAGAAGTGTGGATCAAAGGCGCATGGAGGCAAATCATAAAAAGCCTGTGGAGAATTGGGACATGCTGGAACGCAGATTGAAGTATGTAAAGGCAAAAGCATGAGTATTGAAACAGAGCCTAATATATGCAGGACCAGGGTTGAGGACCTCTGATTTACAGGATCTAGATAGTACCATGATATCTTGCCATATAACATTTTCAAACATTACTGATAATGATGCAAAATTAAATACGGTAATTAGTCAGGTTAATCCAATGTCAAGCTGTCTGCTTTTCTCGGCTACTTTTAGAACATGAAAACTAAATGTTTTTATACTTTAACAGCAACAATATTCACAGCAGAGAACTGGAGAGGCAATCCTTGTCTATAATATAAAAACTTCGTAAGGTTGGCAGGTGCGTTGATCACTTTCCAAAGAATATGAGTCCACAGAAACGCTTCAGGGTAGATGTAAAGTGGATTCTCTTCTTGGCTTTCCTCCGTTTTCACTGACGCGTTTCTTTGATCACAGTAAAAAGCGCTCCAAGCCACTGAAGCTCAAGTGTTGCTTCAATATTACAGCAGAGATTTGGATTTATTCCACCCCGCTCTTTGGTTTGACTGACGCCAGACATCAGTTAAGAAGACACGGTATCCAGCTGAGTTGAATGAAACCAAACTAGTGATTGTCACACGATATAATAAAAAGAAACGGGGGGAAAAAAAATGCAAGGGTGAGCTGATGTTTGATAAATTCTAAAGATTTTCTTTTACTTCTCCTCAGAGCTGTGTGACCAAAGTCAGTAAAGATGAAACAAACATGGAACAGAACATTAGCCCCTCTCTCTTGACCAGTTTGATGAACATCTTTAAAATAACCTTTTTTTCTCTGTCCGTATAACAAATCCATTTCCCCCTACATATATATCCTTGTGAGAGATGCTTGTGCATCTACTGTGTTCTGATAACACATGTTAGGGTTTATTTTTAGATTTTTACTCAA